CCTAGACTCCACTCTACACTAAGGTGACCAGATTTTAGCATTGGTAAAGCGGGACAACATTGATAAAACTCATATCCTGGTGAAATAGCCACATGGCAGCCGAAACCCGTGTACCCTAGCTTGTCGTGCATTTTTTAAAATGCCGTGGAATGCGGGAAAAATTGTTTAAAATCGGGATTGTCCTGCCAAAAGCGGACATCTGGTCACCTTACCCTACACTCTTAATCCTTAAATTGACACCAGGTTAGGTGACTACCACAACAAACAAAAAAGAAAAGCCTGTAAATAGTTCATGGTCTGTTTGTTGACCTTTAGGAGTGTTTTCCTGTCGAGTCTGATCTGGTGCCATGCCTTGGCCCCAAAGTCTATTTTTGGTACTCCCTTGGGGCTTCCTTACTCTGCTCCCCTTGCTGTTCTGTTGCACGCCCTTAGTGTTTTGCCTTGGTGTGGTGGGGTCAGATCAGGCATAGTTCCCACACTGTGTCTCCATTGTTGTCCCCTGTAGGGCTATGGGTCAGTGAGGGATGTCATGTGTCATAGTGGGGCCAGCCATGTGGTCCTCTCTGCATTGGCTGCTCTGAGCAGGGATATCATCCTCAAGGCTTGGTGGGCCAGGATGTACACCACTCTCTTCCTCCCCCTTCATTTGCTCCTGTGTGCTCTGATCAGACCTGTCCCTCTCCCTGAGTGGTAGCTTCAGGGCTATAAATTCTCCTGAGGGGAGGGGCGGTTGTCCACGTAGTTAGGATTGGGGCCAGTCCCTCATACCTCTATTGGTTCCCTGCTTCATGCCGGTATGTGGCGTTCACATCTTGGAACACTGGGTTGAATCCTGGTCCCTCTTTCCTTGTGGATATATAAATACCAACCATTTGTGTGGGTTAGTGCCCTGTTCCCCCGCTACCCATTTCTTTTCTTTTTCTTTTTTCCCCTCCCTTTTGAGTTGGCTACCATATGTATCCCTGGATTTGGTCTGGCCTCTGCCATACTACCTGATCCTCACCCCAGGAATGTTTGTATACAGTAGCTTTTTCCCTATAGCCCTTTTGCATTTTTTTTTAAGCTTACCTCAACGGACTCATGTTGTACTCGTCCTTTTGTGCTTGGCTTACTTCGCTTAACATAATTTCCTCTAGTTCTTCCCATGCGGCAATATGCTTCAAGCATTCATCACTGCTTTTTAGTGTTGCATAGTACTCCATTGTATTTATGTACTACAGTTTTTTAATCCATTCGTCTGTTGATGGAAATTTGGGTTTCCAACTCCTTGCAATTGTGAACTCTGACGTGATGAACATTGGAGCACAGATGTCTGGCCGTGGTTTGTTTCTTGCTTCTTCTTCTAGGTATATGCCCAGTAGAGGGATTGCTGGGTCACATGGTAGGTCAATTTCCATCTGTTTTAGATATCGCCAGATTAATTTTCCATAGTGGCTATACATACCTACAGGTCCACCAGCAGTGGATAAGAGTTCCTATCTCACCACAGCCCCTCCAACACTTGTTGCTTTCTGAATTTTTGAATTGGGCTATCTTTGTAGGTGTTAGGTGGTATCTCATTGTTGTTTTAATTTGTATTTCTTTTATGGCTAATGATCGGGAACATTTTCTCATATGTTTATTGGTCATTTGGATTTCTGCCCCTGCCCATTATATATCTTATATAAATACCTTGGACTAATTCTAAATCCACCTCATTATTCCTGGAAGTTACATTCTAGGAGTGAATGATCAGTATTTCCCAAAATTAGTTTCCAACTAGAGATAATAAGTGAGATGATTGGAGACTGCCCACAAGTAAACATTACTTGTATATTTAATGTATATCAGGAAAAAGTTGTCTATCAAATATGATTTCACAACTGGTGGTCCAACTGATTAACTACTAATTAAGAAGTTGGTCGTTCAAGGACACCCAGAGGTGCCTCCTCAGAAAGGCTTGGCAGTCAATTTCAGAAAGGTCACAACCTTGAATAATCTATGGAGTGGTATTACTGCATGCGTAGGCATCCCATAAGTTGGAAATTATTCAACATCAACTAAAAACAGCTTTACCTATGATGGGAGAAGTGGTATAGATCATTGGTGGAGTTAACACCTTTTTTGCAGTAGACCTCAGTTCAGTTCTGCAGTATGGTCACCACCTTTCCATAGAGGTTTGTGTGGTGCTCTGATGCTAGACAGTTTCAGTATCGCTTCCTAAATAAGGTGGACTAGGAACACCTGACAATCCACTTCTAAAAATCAGCCAATGAAAACTCTGAAATGCCGTTGTCCAATCCTTTTGCGCCTGTTATCTTGCATCAGGTAGCTAACAGCAGCATAATCCAGTGTGAGGTGAAAAGACACAGTTTTAAATTACAGTGAAAACAAATCCAGCAGTCCTTACAGTGGTACAGAAGATATCTAGATGCTGGGCAAATGATGGAAAACAAACTGGAATGCATCTCTGACATCACCGCTACAGAAGCCAGGAGATAGTTGCTGCTTATTTCTGTTTTGTTTTCGTATCTTAAAAAAACACATACTTTTAGAATAGACATCTTGAACAGAAGGAAAGGAGAATTATAAACTTCAACTTTTTCCTCTTAGTACAATGAAAGCTTTGCATTATGATTTAATCAGAGTAGATCTTGAATGAATTTCGTTTAAAAAGAAAAAGAGCTCTTACTATTGAAATGGATATTTGAATAGTTCTATCAAGTACATGAATATCTTAGTTGTTGGCAGGAATAAACACTAAAGGAATTAAACTGGCAGAGATAGGACTGCTACACTTGATACACACTTTTTGTGGGTCAGAGCTGGCACCACTGTAGTATTGACAGTGTTGATTAGTTAGTTGATCATCGATCTGTTAATTTATTTTGGACTGTTCTTCTGGCTGAAACCTAGTCTTTGTCATTAGAAGTTGGTAATCCTTTCCCTGTAATTAGTGTTTGTTCTACAGTGTATATTAATCTGCTTAGTCTGATATTGTTGTACTTACCTCCTAAGCAAAAAACAACAGAAGAAGAAAATCCAGAGCATGTAGAAATTCAGAAGATGATGGATTTGCTTTTCTTAAAATTGGATGCCCTTTCAAACTTCCATTTCATACCTAAACCTGTAAGTATGTTAACGTGTAACATCAAATATATGGATACATAAAAGCGGGTATAAATTTAAGTCATCTCTGAGCTCTTGTGGGGCTCAGTCTATTTTGTTTCAGGTCATTGACCTGTAGCAGTTCCTTGTAAGTTACATGGAGGGTCTTTTGTGGAGATGTACTTTTGTCTGATCCCCTGATAATTCAACCTACTCTGACCCAACTTGATTTCCAATGGGCCCTTTCAGGCCCTCAGTTTTAGCCAATAGGCATTTTAATTTCCTGCCACTCCTTCAGTCCTCTGCTGCATTTTCATTGTAGATGTGTTTAAAGAGGTGTATGGGTGTCTAAACATGCCATTGACTGAGTTCCTGAAAGTTGCAAGCACTTTATACTAATGTCCTTACAGATGATGGGTCTTCAAAGAGTTCATGGGAAAATTCTTTTTTTTTTTTTTACATTTTCCCAGGAACTTTTTGAAGCTCCTTATTCATGAACCATTATTCCACAACATAGATTCTATTGCTTTCCTTCTGCAGAGGTCAAATAGAGACTTAGGAGGTAAAGGAGATCAGAGTCAGAACTATGGGACTATTCTCTCCACACTACATTGTGTTCCCTTGGCCATACTCAGACCTTAAATGGTCATTTCTGCTATTTTGACTCCCACCCAACATGACTTGGGCATGTTTATCCTTGGAGCTTCCAGTCCTCTGTGAACCAGTAGAACATGACTGTCCATTCTCTAGATACTTGTTCACCTATATTCTCCACCATTTGTCTGTCAGTTTGTCATACTGTGGTGCTTGTGTGTTGCTGTAATGCTGGGAGCTGTGTCACTGGTATTTCAAATGCCAGCTAGGTCACCCAGAATGAACAGGTTCCACAGAGCTGAGAACAGACTGCAAAGAGGAAAGCAGCGGCCCACTTCAGAGATAGCAGCCTTGTGCATAGCATGGAAACTTGTTAAATTCTGAAGGCCTAATGAATGGAAGCAGCATATTGTCTGAGGTAGTGCCAGGGGACGGGGCCCTCAGGTAAGAAGGCACTTTAAATGTAACTAAGGAGGACCTGCTTTCTAGAGGAAGAGTGGACCATGTGACGTGACCAGAGTAACCCTGTGATATTAAAGCCTTCAGGATCTTCATTTGCTGATGGAGCACAAACCAAAATGAGAAGAGCTGTAAACATCAACTAATAATCAGAACTGGGACTATATGAAGTATGAATCTAAGAAAATTGGACTTCAAAAATGAAATTGAATGCATACAGATTGATATCGTAGCCATTCTTGAGCTGAAATGAATAGGTATTAGCCAGTTTGAATCAGAAAAGTATATGGTTTACTATGCTGGGAATGAAACAAGGAATGCCCTTGCATTCATTTTCAAAAGAGACATTTCAAAATCTATTTTGAAGTTTAGTGCCATCTGTGATAGGATTATAACTATCTGCTGTGTGATCTAGCCTCACAGTTGAACGGGTCCGTAGGTGCAGCGTGTACAATTAAGGAAGAAAAATATATAGACAGTGAGGCACAGGGGCTCATCATCCTGATCCCGGAATCAAGAGAGCGGATGTATTTCCCAATGGGGATCTATAGTCATGGGGCTTGCAAGCCTCCAGCAGGCACACACACAATAGAATGGGCAGCTTAACCTTGGATGTTCCTCAACTCACTCGGGGAACACCCTATGATAACTGTAATAAGACATACAGGGGTCGAGTGAGAGGGACAAAAGAATCTGATTGCTTTTAAAGATAAGTACTTTCCAGATGTGTAATAGCAGCCAACTGCTTGTAGGTGACATCTTTATATTATAGTAGCTTTTTTATTAAGGGCTATTGTGGAGACATCTTTCCATCTGGAGAATGTGTATTTGACATTATCTCTATCTCAGAACTGTGAAGATCTTCCAAGCCCTGTGGTTATGAGTGTAAATAGTAGGCTGCATACACTCCCTTCCAGGTCTTCAGTTTTCCACCTTCAAGGAAATCCAGTCTGCACCTATTATTCAAATGGATGCTCCAACACGAAAGCTAGCAATGATGACACTGAAGAATTCTACAAGCCTCTTCAGTCTGAACTTGAACAAACATGCAATCAGGATGCATTGATAATTATTGGTGATTGGAATGCAAACGTTGGAAACAAAGAGGAAGGGACAGTAAGAAAGTATGGTCTTGATAGAAATGAATTTGGGAATCTCACAGAAAATTTTGCAAGATTAACAACTTGTTCATAGCAAATACCATTTTTCAACCAACACAAATGGTCACTATACACAGTGACTTCTCTACATGGACTTCTCTATATGGAATACACAAGAAGTCTTATTGACTGCATCTGTAGGAAGATTATGGAGAAGCTCAATGTCTGCATCTAAAACCGGACCATGGGCTGACTGGAACAGACTATCAGTTGTTCATATGTTGGTTCAGGTTCAAGCTGAAGAAAAGTAAAACAAGTTCATGCTAGCCAAAATACAACCTTGAGTCTATCGCACCTGATTTTGGAGAACATTTTGAGAACTTATTTGATGCATTGAACACTAATGACAGAAGACCTGATGAACAATGGGAGGACATCAAAGACATCATTCATGAAGAAACTAAAGGTCATTAAAAAGACAAAAGAAAAAGATTGCTGCAAATGAATGTCTGAAACTTGCTCCTAATTGTAGAGTAGCTAAGGCAAATGAAAGAAATGATGGCGTCAGAGCACTGGACAAGATTCAAAGGGCACCTTGAGAAGGCAAAGTAAAATACAATGAAATTTTCCAAGACCTGAAATTGGAACACCAAAAAGGAAGAACACGTGAACTGAAGAAAAAAATGGAAGCCTCGATTGTTGTAAAAAAAAATGTAAGATTGAAAGATTCAATGGGAAAAATAAGAGTCAATAATATTGAAGGAAGAAGGTTAAGCTGCATTGAAAACATTAGCCAAAACAAGGCTCCAGGAATTGATGGGATACCAATTGAATTGTTTCAGCAAGCTGATGAAGCACTGAGCGCACGTAGTCGCGTATACCAGGAAATTTGGAAATGGCTACTGGACTGGCTAGAAGAGTTCCTTATTTGTACCTGTTCCCAAAAAACGATGACCTGAGCTCACTTCGGCAGCACATATACTAAAATTGGAAAAGAGATGACCCAAACTATAGAACCAATATCATTGACATCATATACAAGTAAAATTTTGCTGAAGATTGTCCAACAACTTTGTTGCAGCAGTACATTGACATAGAATTTGTTGCCAGATGTTCAGACCAGATTCAGAAGAGGACATGGAACAGGGGATGTCATGCTGAAGTCAGATGGATCTTGGCTGAAAGCAGAGAACACCAGAAAGATTTTTACTTGTGTTTTATTGACTGTGCCAAGGCATTTGACGGTGTGGAGCATAACAAACTATGGATAACCTTGAGAAGGATGGGAATCCCAGAACACTTCCATATGCTCACAGCTTGCTTATTCTTTCAACCATGGTGATCATCCAGTTCCTCGAACATGCTGGTTCCCTGCAGCCTTTTTGACTCCCCTAATCATTTAAAGCTGCTCTTCCTTTTTTTTCTTTTTCTTGTTTTAGCCTTGCTGCCTCCTAACCTTCCTCCCTTCTTTTTCTCCTTGGCACTTTTCCGAACAGGCCAGCCTACCCTCACTCCACCACCCCGTCTGTGCTATCACTACACATTGGGACTTTATCTCGTCAAGTAGCATTTCTTTCCTACTGTTTCACCGATTCGTTCCTCACGCCAGCATGGAGCTTAAGATGACAAAGCCTTCTGTGTTCCTTGAAGTCTCGTGAATTGAGTGAGGAGAGGAAAGCTTTTTGTGCTTTCTGACTCCAGTTTCAATGCACTTGTATATTTCCCCTTAGTCCGACTGTTTGTAAATTTTAGATTGTTATCACAAAAGATAGCCACACAGACCTCATTAACCGATCCTGCAGCCATCGTTTCTTGTTGCTCTGTGGATAGTCTCCATTTTCTCGATAGTTCTTAATACATAATTACGAGATTTCCTTGGGCAAACACTTAACTGATGACCTGAAATCACGGACAGGACTATGACAATGAAATAGTTTGTGGAGGAGGGGGTGACTCATCGGGCTGCCGCCCACTGGCAGCACAGATGCCCCTGCTTTTCTTGCCCCGTGTTACTCCTCACAGATGAGTAAGATGTGAAAGGAATGAGCGTGTAATAGGGAGTGTGTTTGGCAAATGATAGCTTTTGTCCTTTTATTACCATCATCAGTATCTTCCTGTATGAGGGGGCTTCAAAGAGGTCACAGATATGTGGGATTTAAAAATAATGGATTTTCGTGCAAATACCATAGCATTTTCTCTCCCCCAAAACAATGGCTTTTCAGTTAGCATTTCATTATTTTCTCTTTTAATTAATAGAACTGATTTATTTTCCTATTGTTTTAGTATTTTGAAATAGTTTCCTATTGTTTTAGTATTTTGAAATATTTCCACAGGATGTCATATTTATGGTTATAAAAATAAGTTTTCAATAACAAGAAAGCAAAATTCAGTCATCAATAAGTTCGTAATTTGACTCTTGCGTCTGTAAGCATTTTTGCATGTTTTCCCATAAGTTTATGTTACTCTTATTTTTCTGTATGATTGAAGGCAAAATAACATTAATGAAAAATAATTCTAAAGTAGTTGATACGACTGTTTGACAATGGAAATAGTAGTTGGAGTAACAGACAAAACAACTGGTGTTTGAATGTGGCTGTCATGTCATGCATAAGTGTAAAAATAAATGCTATTGTATTAGTTTTAATATAGCAAAGGTACCAGAATATCCAGATATCAGATGCCTGAAGCAACCTCTGCAGCTACCACATATTAGCAAAGTATCAAAACACATCTATCTTAATTTTAAGTTATTTCTGAATTTTTTTTTATTTACTTAAATAATTTTGAAATTCAAATATTTATGTTAGAACTATTTCTGGCTTCCTGTTAAACCCTGGTCACGTGTTGGCTGCTAAGCACAAGTTAGAATCCACTAGCCAGCTCCGTGGGAGAAAGATAAGGTTTTCTACTCCTATAAAGAGTTACAGTCTCAGATACTCACAGGGGCAGTTCTACCCTCTCTTATAGGATCTCCATGAGTCAGAATTAACTTAATGATAGTGAGTTGGAGTGTTTGGTTTGGGGAATTAAGTGTATTCTCTCCTTTCTAGCCTGCACCTGAGATTAAAGTTGTGTCAAATCTGCCAGCAATAGCCATGGAAGAAGTAGCCCCAGTGAGTGTTAGTGATGAAACTCTCCTGGCCCCTGAGGAAATCAAGGTAAGAAGCTAGTAATTTGACTCTTCCTTTCATAAGCATTTTTCTTTGTATCTTTTCTCATAAATTTGACTTAACCCTTGGAGCCTGAGATAGTTTATTGTGCCATCCTGGCCGATAAACACAAGTAGGATTAACTGAAGGGCGGAGAGATAAATGGCTTGGTGAGCCTCGCCTTTCTTGTCTCTTGCTCTTTGATCATCGGACCAGTGTGTGGCTGCCTTGCTTGTTCTGTGCCTCAATTTATAGGCTACACTACCTGTGGGATGCCTAGCCTATGGACTGTGTCGCTGTAAGTTGACATCTCTGGAGCTGGGGACTGGCAGTTGGGACTGGTGGTTAGTTGACAGTTGGTGACCTGCCTTGTGATTGGCTGCTGTGCTGAGATAGCCTCGCTCTCTGTAAATAGAGGGAGATCTGGCAGCAGACTAGACTTGAAGGACTGTAGTCTCTCCCAACTCTCTCTCACGAGGGTGAGTTGCACTGAGCCATTTGTAGTGCTTTATAATTTAACTGTTCATTTCTTGTACTATATAGTTATCTGTATATGATTTAACAGTTCATTTCTTGTTATATATCTAATTATCTTTATAAGTAAATAAGTTATCAGCAATTTGGTCTTATCTCTCTAGAGAACCCGGTCTAACACAGAGAGCCCTAGTGGCATAGTGGTTTCACGTTGGGCTGCTAACTGCAAGGTCAGCCATTCCACCCACCAACTGCTCCACAGAAGGAAAACTGGACTCTCTACTCCTGTAAAGAGTTACAGTCTTGGAAACTCAGAGGCTGTTCTAGTCTGTCCTGTAGGGGCAGTGTAAGTCAGCATCAACTTGATGGCACTGAGTTTTTGAAAGGCGAGATTTTTCTGATTCCGTACATAGGTTTTCAGTGGCTAATTCATCAGAGGCGATCTGCTCTTAGTCTGGAACCTCTGCTGAAGCTTGTTCTTTGGATGACTGCTGACATTTGAAACACCCGTGACATAGCTTCTAGCATCAGAGCAACACACAAGCTACCACAGTAGGATAAACTGACAGAAAAGTGGTAAACAAATAATAGAGGCTGGGCTATATGAAGAAGAAGGCGGCATCAGGATTGGGTGAAGGCTTTTTAACAAGCTGCAGTGAAACAACCCTGCTTGCTGAAAGTAAAGAGAACTTGAAGCACTTGCTGATGAAAGCCAAGGACTGAAGCCTTCGGTATGGATTATAAGTCAAGATAAAGACCAAAATTCTCTCAATTGGACCCATACATAGATAGCATCATGGTAGATACAGAAAAGATTGAAGTTGCCAAAAACATTTGTCTTACTTGGAACCCCAGTCAGTGCTCATGGAAGTAGCAGTCAATAGATCAAACAACTTGTCTCATTGAGTAAATTTGCTGTACTTCAAGACCTCGTTAGAAAGTTGAAAAGCAAGGATATTGCTCTGAGGACTGAGGTGGACCTTTTATATTTTCAGTTCTCTCATATGAATATGGTCTGTCTTCTAGTGCACAGTCCACCATTTCAGTACATACCATATGACCAAGAACCAGTGGTATCGAAGGAAGAACTTCAAGCTGCACTGAATGCATTAGCTAAATTCAGGGCTTCAGGAATTACCGGAATACCCATTGAAATGTTTCAGAAAGCTGAAGGAGCACTGGAAGCACTCACTCATCTATGCCAGGAAATTTGGAAGACAGGTACCTGGCCAACTGACTGGAAGATCCATATTTATGCCCATTCCAAAGAAGGGTGACCCAACAGAATGCTCAAACTATAGAATGATAACAATAACATCTCACACAAGTAAAATTTTACTTAAGATCATTCATCAACAGGTATAGCAGCTTATTGACAGGGAACTGCCAGAAACTTAGCCCAGATTCAAAAGAAGACATGGAAGAAGGGATATGGTTGCTGATATTGGGTGGACTTTGGCTCAAAACATAGAATACCAGAAAGATGTTTATTTGTGCTTCATTGCCTCTGCAAAGGCATTCAACTGTGTGTACCATAATAGAACGCTGGATTGCCTTGATTAGAATGGAAGTTCCAGAACAATTCATTGTGCACATTTGGAACTTGTACATGAATCAAGAGGGAGTTGTATGAACAGAACAAGGAAATACTACCTGGTTTTAAATCAGGAGAGGTGTGTGTCAGGGTTGTATCCTCTCACCATACTTGTTCAATTTATATGCCGAGCAAATCATCAGAAAAGTTTGATTATATGAAGAGTACAGCAGCAGGATTGGAGGAAGCCTTATTAAGAACCTGCAGAATGCAGATGACACAACTGTGCTTGCTGAAAGTGAGGAGGAATTGAAGCACTGACTGATAACATCCAGGATTGTGTTCAGTATGCATTACAGCTCAATGTAAGGAAGACCCAGATCTTCACAACTGGACCAACAGGTAACATCATACTAAAAGGAAGAAAAAATTGAAGTTGTCAAGAATTTTGTTTCACTTAGATCCACAATGATTAGTGTTCATGGAAACAGCAGTCAAGAGATCAAAAGATGTATTACATTAGGTAAATCTGCTGCACAAGACCTCTTTAGAGTATTGAAGAGCAAAGATTTTTCTTTGGAGCCTAAGGTGCTTGTGACCCAATCCATAATATTCTCCATTGCATCATGTGCATGTGAAAGTTGGACATGGAATAAGGAAGGCTAGAAGAATAAATACATTTGAATTTTGGTGCTAGAGAAGAATATTGGACTTTTTCACTGCATACTTTACTTTTTGCCTTTTACCATGGACTGCTAAAAGGACAAACATCTGTATTGAAATAGTAAGACCAGAGTGCTCCTTAGAAGCAAGGATGGGAATACTTCATCTTATATACCTTGGACATATTGTCAGGGGAGACAGTCCCTGGAGAAGGATATTATGCTTGTTAAAGTGAGGGATGGTGAAAAAGAGGAAGGCCCTGGACGAGATGGATTGACACAGTGGCTACATCATAGAGCCTACTGGGGGGATGGCACAGAATTGTGCAGTGTTTGTTCTGTTGTGTGTAGGGTTGCTATGTGTTGGAGTCGACACAATGGCACCTGACAAAATATTTGCATCTGAAATCCGGGTATTAAGTCAGGAAGACTAAAGAAGAAGAAGAATCCGTGCCTTTGAAGTGTGGTGCTGGTGAAGAATATTGAAAGTACCAAGGACTGCCAAAAAACGAACAGATCTGTCTTGAAAGAAGTCCAGTCAGACTGCTCTTTAGAAGGAAGGATGGTACGTCTTCATCTCACATACTGTGGACATGTTGTCAGGAGATAACAGTCCTTGGAGAAAGATATCATGTGTAGTAAAGTGGACAGCAAAAAACCTTCAACAAGCTGGATTGACACAGTGTGTCTTAATCTGTGGGTTCAAACATCAGAACAATTAAATGAATGGCACAGGACCAGACAATGTTTTACTCTGTTGTACATAGGGTTGCTATGAACTGAAACCGAATCTAACAACAGAAGACAAGATAGCATTAATAAAAATAATTCTGAAAGTTAGCAGGATTGTTTGACCATAGAAATAGTTGTGTAACAGATAAAACAACCCGTATTTGAACGTGGCTCACATCATGCAGATGTAGAAATAAGTGCTATTGCATAAAACTGAGTATTTTTTAAAATTACTCATTTGTACCCATATCTCCATATATTTAATGTCATTGGCCTTGGGAATTTAGGTTTTATTGTGGTTTATCAGCCGTTTTATTCCTTAAGTATAATCAAACCAGTAAAGTTATTCAGATTTCAATGTCCTTTTCTCATAGGATGTGAAAACAAATTACAACTATTAAAGTGGTTTTTATATGGCCAACTTGTCAGTATCTTATTATAATTTAATAGCAGTGATATTGGGCTTAAAACAAATTGCTTAGAAAGCCTATCAGTATTTCAATATCAGTGATTTCTCTATATTTTGTCCGCTGATTGGCTGTATGTCATCAGACATTCTAGAATAGACATTTGGATATTGGAAGGTTGAATGGCTATACAAAATACAGGCATTCATTGATTGTGAGCATTTAAGACCATGCCTTACATGTGAATAACATTTTTTGTCAGGGCTTCATCCTTTTAGCTTGCTCAAGTAGTAGTGCCCTCCATCATTGAGCCCTCCTCTCCCTCCTTTCTGTCAGAGCCTCTTCCCTAGTGCAGCTGACAACCCTTTCAGGACAGGCTGACAGTTGAGAGGGTAACAGAAAGAAATGTGGTCCTTCGACAAGATAGACGTTTCCTTCCGTGCACTGCTCTCTTGAACATTCTGCTGTCAGCAGTGGCAGTGTGCTGCTATGGTGCTTTTCAGTAACTTGCCCAGCTCTCTATGCTGTTTCTCTTGGCTTGGGAACTGACCCATAACTGTAACATCAAAGATTACAGCCCAGGTCTGAAGAGCTGATTGTGTAAGCTCTTTGAAACAACTTGCTCTCACACTCACCTATAGCCTACTTTCATGTTTCTTCTTATTTTAACATCCTGAATTGATACTAAATTAACTACTATGTTGGTTATTTCTTAATAGGAAAAAAATAAAGCTGGAGATATAAAAACAGCTGCTGAGAAAACAGCTACAGACAAGAAACGAGAACGAAGGAAAAAGAAATACCAAAAACATATGAAGATAAAGGCAAAGGAAAAGCAGAGTAAATTGTTAGAAAAGAGCTGCCCCGATCAGGCAGGGAAATATACCAAAGCATTGGCCTCAAATAAATTAAAACAGTTGACAAAGGCAGGCAAAGCATCCCTACTGAAGGTATGGAATGAATGTGCAAGGGAAAGAAAACTACTTTTGGGGGGGGGGGGGAGGGGGGGGGGCAGCTTTGGTATTTGTTGGGAGTTCCTGCCCAGCCAAAGGGACCAGCATGCGCAGGTGGGAGGAAGAGGCACTTATTGACTGGCTAGAATATTCTGCCTTAATCAGCCTTCAAATTTCTGAAGTACTTAATGTACTTCATATGTGTCTTATATCTTGGGTCCTAGCAGCATTGTTTCTCCCATTCCTTCCACTCTGTAAATTATAGGAGTGTTTTAAGTACTGTATTGTATTTAAGGACAATCAGAGCAGGGAACCTCCCCAATGCCTCTCTACTGACTGATTTAACAATTAATATTTTCTTCTAGTCTTCTTAGATATCTGTGTTAATACATTGTTAAAATTATAACAGTATTTTTTTTAGCATAGTATTTTTGCATTTGGGTTCCCCCTGCCCCCTACTTAAAAGCACATTTTGTGGCATGAACATCTGTTTCTTTTAATCACAGGATGATGGGAAAGACAAGGCCTTGAAGTCATCTCAAGCATTCTTTTCTAAGTTACAAGATCAAGTGAAGATGCAAATCCATGACAAGAAGAAAGCAGAAAACAGAAATAAGAAAACACAAACTATCTCTATTCATAAATTAAAGCTATGATGTATTTTTAATATGTAAATATTGTGAAAGCTTGTATTCTTCATTGCTCTGTTTTATATTAAAAGACCATCTCTAAACTTGTATGTGGAAAGCCAGGTTTTACTTTCTTCTTGTTAGGAAGCAGGATCGTCACGTCAAGGCCCTTCCCAAGCACAGAAGCCATTGTCTTTGCTTTTCCCAGGGATCTAGGGAAGGACCAGTTAGCAAAAGTGGCCCGCAGCTTGAATCGGGTTCAGGAGCCAACCACTCTTGTCATATCCAGCTGTCTGCAACAGACGGCCTCATTCTCTGAAGTTGTGCTTTCCAAAAGCCGGTAGAAGGTTCTCCTACGTGCTTTACATCCTTCCATTTTGGAAGTGATCAGTCATCTGAGCACAGATGAGTGTAGGCTGTAGGGTACTGTCCACATTAGTACCACAAGGGAGCAAGACTGGCCTCTGCAGAGAACCAACAGGTGGTCAGTTTAAAGCTGACAGAAGGTCTACACAAGATTGGGGGAAAGCATGAGTTAGTACCGTAACTCATTTGGAGGTTTTTCTTTTCGAGAGAGATTTCCAAAGGGTACCTGTGAAAAAGCATGGAGGGTTCCATACCTGATCTTCCGCTTCCCTTTTGTCAGACAATACCCCACCCTCCATTTTTTGCCTATTCTGACACCAACTGTTCCAGAACATATTTCTATACCGATTCGATAATTTGTTGCAATTTTCGGGTCAATTAATTATGTGATGTGCTTCTAATCAAAGTCCACTTTCCACTAAATGACTATCTTGCTTGAGTCTTAGGAAGGTTGGGGAAGATACTGATAGGATTCACTTGTGAGTAGATTCCCTGGAATGCCATCCTGCTGTGTATATAATGAGCCTTCTGAGGACTATCATTACCAGCAAGAGCAAGGGTCTCTGGACCTGAGATCCCTGTGCTGTGAACCTGGATTCAGAAGTCAGGAGGAGGAGGAGCAGAACCAGGAGCCAGAGCACGGAACAGAGTGCTGGACTTCCCTAACCCACAGAGCAAATACAGTTGAGTGCTTTTGTGCAGGAGGCTGGCTTGTGGATTAGGGTGTCTCTGGGCACTTAATTGGGAAACGGGCTTGCTGACTCAGAAGTGGAGCTGAGGCTTGGAGTGGAGTGTCTGGGCATTTAATTCAAGTAGCTAGTTTTATTGACCCATGGTGCCTGAGCTGAATACTTTCAGGCTGAGGCTTACAGCAGTGTGGAATTTATTGACAGATCTGAAAAAACTTTGTAATATGCCCTGATAACTGTATCCTGAGTGTTTCTCACTGGCATTACAATTTCTTAAATTCCTTAATAAACCTGTTGTTGATCATTAATTTTGTCTGTGAGTTCTATATAGCCATTGCAATGGATATTAGAATCCAGAGAGGTAAAATACAGGATGTTAATTAAGAAAATCAGCAATGCCCACAACAGAACTCACAGACAATACAACTTTGGGGGTTATAGTCATTGATTCACAGCAACACCTCTTCTCAGGCAGTAGCCAAATTTCTCTCTGGTCTTCAGCCTCTGAGCCGTGTGTTCCTTGGTTTATACTTCCACGGGCCAGGAAGCCCACTGCCTCAAAAATCTCCGTCTCCTCATTGCTACTTTGCTTTGTTTCAGGGGGTCTTTGCCTCAGCCTCTGACCTTGGCTTGCCAGGCTCCTTTGCTCTGTGCCATGGTCTCCGTGCCATAGCCTCTAGTGCAGCGGTTCTCAACCTGTGGGTCGCGACCCCTCTGGGAGTCAAATGACCCTTTCACAGGGGTTGCCTGATTCATAACAGTAGCAAAATTACAGTTAGGAAGTAGCAATGAAAATACTTTTATGGTTGGGGGGAGGAACTGTATTAAAGGGTCACGACATTAGGAAGATTGAGAACCACTGCTTTAGTGCCTCCGGTCTCGGCCTCCACCACTACAGAGACCTCAAATGTGCTCCATTTCCAGTAGCCCTGGGATACCTTTCTCTTCCTGCTGAGAATAGGGTGAGAGCTAGATGGCTTTCAATCTAACCCTCGAAATAAAACAGCTTGGGATCTGGTCTGTTTAGCTTTAGGGACCTACGATGTAACAGCTCCCTCCTCAATAGTAAAAATTCCCTTTAAACCTGTTAACTATTCAAGGATGCAGTCAAGGGAAAACAGGGCCATTCAGAAAAACATGGAGACTGAAAGTTTCGTGAGTCTGACATCCCCTGGAGTAATGAAGGTCTCTACTGATAGAATCCCTTGGGGACATGTAAACTTGTGAAACTTGCTCGCTTTTGTCCCATTGCTTGAAGGTCTCTATTTTGAGTCAGAGTCACAAGCCATTCGCAGCCAACAACACCAAGATAGCTCATCCTGATAGCCAGGAGAGTGGCAACTAAAACTGGCCAGTCTCCTCTAGTCCTGTGACAACGACTTACTTGCATAATCATATGGTGGGAGTTAGAGACAGAAGAGCCATATTAAGTTTCACTTCATGACTTCACCTCTATCGTTCATTTTGACCACTGATCTCTAGCCTTAGCCAATGTATTAGTGGTGATTTGAGTAGTATTTGGCCCCAGGATTACCTAATTTCTTTATATGCTCAGTTTGCTGGACTGCATTTGCTTCTAGCTTAATTCTCATAATTTGTCAGATTCAAGATGTGTGATCTGGGACTGCTAGTCATTTTACCTATATAGAGGTAGTTTGATATTTGCTGAGTGAGGTGTATGAATCCATTCACTTTGTAAAATGTAATATTTTGGATATTTTCAATATTCTATTCATTTCAAATACTTGGCCCGAGTCAGATACTATTCTAGATGCTGGGGATGTAACTGAAGAAAACAAATTCCTACTTTTCTGCAGTGCGTTTTTCAGTAGAGTACTGCTGAAAATGGTGTGGGAGCCACGTCTGACCTTTGGCTATATAAATGAAGAAAATTCACCTCCACCCAAGCTTAAGGTCAGTTGCCAGAAAACAGATCAGACATACCTCTACTCTACATCTTGCTTTATTTAGACATCCACTCTTCCTCCCACAGCACTCTACTAATCTGACTGGGTTCAGTAATCCATTACAAGGACCACACAAAATTCAAACAATACTCATGATTAAGGCTTTATTAGGGAAGGTAACAGGTTACCAAAAGCCAGGACCAGAAAACATTAAGGATAAAACAGGAGCACCTCTTCTCAGGCAGCAGCTAAGTATCTAGCCCTCCGGCTGTCAGCCATGTAGTCCCTTGTCCTCTGCCTCTATGGGCCAGCAAGCTTGTCTGTCACCCTGTTCACTGCCTCATAGTCTAGGTACCACTCCTTGACTCTCCCATGGGCTCCGCTAGTGACTGGTCTTGATAGTCCCAGGATGTGAATGTAAGCAATTTCACTCATAAGTGTCTATACAATTTTACAGGGGCAATGAATTTTTTAACGTGGCATGTGTAGCCAAAGTCATTCCTACCAAGTCACTTTTTGCTGCATGAGTCTCGTCAGATGATGGGGAAAGATACTGATAGGATTTACCTGTGAGTAACTGTGAACAGGATTCTTGGGAATACCATCCTGATGTGTACAAAATGAGCCCTCTGAGAAGCAGGAGAAGAGATCTGATTACCAGAAAGAGTTCAGAAGTGGAGTGCACCCTCTGGACCTGAGGATCCTGCACACTGACCCTCCTGGATCCAGAAGTCAGTGACAACATCAAAGGAGCAGCAACAGAACCGGAATCCAGAGCATAGAACAGAATGACAGACTTTCCAACCCAGAGAGACAGTAAAGCTGAGTGCTTTTGTTCTGGACACTAGTTTGTGCATTAGGGTGTCTCTGGGCACTTGAATGAAGAAGCTGAACTTGCTGACCCACAGAAGTGGAGCTTAGTGTCTTTGGGCTTAGGCTTACTGGAGTGAGGTAACTCTGGGCACTTCATTCTGGATACTGGATTTGCTGACCCACAGAATTTGGGCAGAATGTCTTCCGGTTGAGGCTCACAGAGCAGTGGTATGTCCCTTTGGGCATTTATCAGCAAACTTGAAATAACATTGTAACATGTCTTGATAAGTAACTGTCTCCTGAGCATTTCTCATTTGCATTACCACCTGTCAAGTTCTTTAACAAACCCTTTAATCATGACGACAGTCTGTCCTGTGTAGCCATTGCAATGGATATTAGAACCTAGAGATAAAATAGAGGATAGTAATTAAGACAACACACATACACATTTCAGAACCCATCATTTTAAGAACCAATAATCTAGTCTCCTCTAGTCTATCTCCTTAAAAGAGGTGAAAAAGAAAAGTTGCCATAATTGTGAATTGCATATTTTCCATTTCTTGGATTTGTATATATTTTTACCATGTGCATATTTCATAGAGGATTTATTAACTATTTTTTCTAGCATTTGAATTTTGTGCAAATAAAACATTATGCATTTATTTATGACTTTTCACTAAATACTCATTTCTCCAAATTAACTCTGTGTTATATGTAGCTGAAGATCATCTTTACTGTTGTGTAATATTTTTGAATATACTACAGTTTTATTTCCCTCATGGTGACATTTGCCTGCAGTTTTACATTATTAAGAAAATGTTGTTTGAACATCTTATTTACAGACAGTGCTTGTATTAGTCTGGGTACTT